AAACTTCTTTGATATTCTTTGTGACTACAGAGGCGTTGTTTCCCTTCTTGTATTCAAACAACATTATATGCTGAATGTGGGGATCGTCATGTGCCATCACAATAAAAGATTAGAGTATACTAATTTTTACACATTATATAGGCTACACTAACGTGACGTTAAGGCGGTTCGTTTAACTATTAAACGTGATGTACGTTTTTTGGGGGGTGGTTAATGAAAGTGTTCCAAAACGCGACATTAATTTCTTCACGACCTAATACTTTACATCCAAAATAAGTTGCATGTCACTGAACTTAACAGTCAGTGAAAACGAATTTATCTAATCTTCCACTATATATAACAATATAAAAATTAGACTTTTATAAAAAAAAACAATCACCTTTAAAAAACTATGGTAATACTTTATTAACTTGGCGACGTTTCGAACAAACGCTCTTTTCCAAGCCAGAAATAAGCCTGTCGGTTAATGACAATTACAGGAACGTTTTGTTTGTTTTTAATTTCGCGCAAAGCTACACGAGGGCTATCTGCGCTAGCCGTCCCTAATTTAGCAGTGTAAGACTACAGGGAGGGCAGCTAGTCATCACCACCCATCGCCAACTCTTGGGCTATTCTTTTACCAACGAATAGTGGGATTGACCGTCACATAATAACGCCATGGCTGAAAGGGCGAGCATGTTTGGTGTGACGGGGATTCGAACCAGCGACCCTTAGATTGCGAGTCAAGCGCCCTAACCATCTGGCTTGCCGGGCCGGAACGTTTTGAAACGCAACAATACACAAAACAAAATGTAACGCGAGATAGAACTACGAGAACTGAACAATACTGCTACTCTTTACAAATGAAAAAATGGGATGGATCATCATGATTGAAAGGAGAAGCATGTTTGGTGACCGGATTCTAATCCGTAACTTGCAGATTGCGAATCGAGGGCTTTAATCCCGTTTTTACACACACACGCATGCGTGCACGCATATATAAATATCTTCATTCCTGTTTGTCTTTATCTATTGGAGAGTGCACTAGCACTCTTTATGTAAGGATGGCACAGATGCCTATACTAAAGCAATACAAAAGTAATCTGGAGTTTCTTCTCTACAGATCATCAGAAGCCAAATATTAAGAGCTACTTGGCATAGTTGCTCTATCTCTGGTGTATATGTTGCTTTTCAGCTATCCAGAGTGATCCAAGATCGAAAACCGGTGAATAGCCAAAAACCGAGATTTCTTATTTTCTTTCATCATCATCTTTCTTCAACAGACCTAACGCCTGTCTAGTTCTAGCACTAACTATAATTTTATCATCATTTGATAGAGTAGTACATTCTTCACAATATTTTCCTAACTATTTTATTATTATTATATTCAAAATTTAAACAAAGAAGACAAAATCATAATTCTAGTGTAAACGATCTTCTTACCCCTTAAAGCTAATTTGTTTACTGAAACTTGGTGTTCCTTTAAAAAACTTAAGTACAGGATGAAGCAGGAATTTAAAATGTTCCTTTTTATGAGGGAATTTCAGAAGAAGAAAAAACTTGTTCCGTCGACATATTGAAAGAAATATTGCATGACTTTTTGTAATATGTTGGATAAAATAAATTAGTTTCATTTAATACAATATTCCACTTTGACACTTATAGAAATGGCAACTGTCAAAAATCACCCACTTCGATAGTGGTCTTTTCTTGCGCTCAGTAAAATGTCAAGGAACGGTGGTATCCAGCTGAAACAATCCCCGCGGCTACTTAACAAACCTGAGTACACGAAACGTCTTCTTCTATACTTATGTTTATACAACAGGCAGTTGCTGTCCATTCAACCAAATTTCATCATGAATACTCTGCCTAAACAATCTATAAATATATGATATACATCCTCAAAGCCGGATTAAGACGACAGTGATCTCACGGGCAACAACATTTCTGTGGGTCAACATTATCGACAAAACCCTCTTTTTTTGCATTGAACTCTTGTCTATCCAAATGACTTTCGACCAAATTTAATTCCTTTAAAATACCACAGATTTCAACTTAAGAAATTAATATCTGAGATGACTTAGAAAAAAGAAAAGGAAGAAAACCATTGTGGACCCATAGGCAACTAAATGCCTACTCTGCCTTTTGGTTAATCCGATCAGGGTAAAACTGACGGTTTATCTTTAATTAAAAAGCAAATCACCTTTCGTCGATTTCAGTTTCAAATGTCAATTCTATGTAAAATCATTTTGCTTATAACGTAATTATTGTGATTATCTTAACTTCGTGAAATTGTCAGGCGAACAATTTCAAGTTAAAATATCTTAAATATTGTCTTTCATATAGATGAAATTTATAATTGTAATCTTACGTCAGCTAGTAATTTGAACTTTATAATGGATTTAACATGTGGGCAATACGTCATTTTTAAAGTATAGTCAATAAATAAATTATCTATCGGAAACAATAAAGTTCAATTCTCAACGTGAAACTTGCTAAATTTGTATTTGTTAAAAACAGAAAAGTATATTTTCAAGATATTATTTTTTAATACCAATTAAAAATGAAAACTAAGTTTCATGCAAAAGATACAAATTCTAAGCAGAATCTAATTTCTTTATTTCAAACTATCTACAAGCAAAGGGTTTTGTGTGTGTTTTTTATTTTTTATTCAGATCGGAAAGCTTATTCTGTGAAATCACGGTTGGTTGAACTAAAATATTTTCCAGTAAACCACCTTTGTCCTCAACACGCCGCCACTTATTATTCCTGGCATAGTCGTGCTGTGTCCACGTGATGTTCATTCAAGTATATCACGAACTACTCAGACTGATTGCAAAGCTTGGCCTAGATTTTTGTTTTTAAACTTTTACAGGGCAAGTTGAAATTTAGAGCAAGGATTATGAGGTTGACGCTACAGAAACACCACTAGTAAATTTTAGTACTAGGGTTGTTAGATGTTCTGATGAACTGTTACATGAAAAACTGAAACTGAAACCTATCAATTAGCACATAACTGGGTTGTTTGAACAATTGGTATCATTGTCCGGTGTTACACTTTGTTGGTTGTGTATTTCATACTGTTGTTTTTGTTTTGTTTTTTAAAAACAAAAACGAAACTGTGCTATATTTCGTAATTAGGCCCGGCATGGTCAGGTGGTTAAAGCACTTGACTCGTAATCTGCGGGTTCGAATCCCCGTCACACCAAACGTGCTCTCCCTTTCAGCCGTGGGGGCGTTATAATGTGACGGTCAATCCCATTATTCGTTGGTAAAAGAGTAGCCCAAGAGTTGGCGACGGTGGTGATGACTAGCTGCCTTCCCTCTAGTCTTACACTGCTAAATTAGGGACGGCTAGTGCAGATAGACCTCGTGTAGCTTTGCGCGAAATTCAAAAAACAAACAAACAATTTTGTAATTAACCATGAAATTGTTATTGCAACACAGTTTTCCTGTTTATAAAAGTAATTAATAAAATATATTTTCCACAGCACTACACAACACTTATAAAGTGTTATTGTTGTAAAAAGTTTAAATTTAATGTTTTGAGCTTCGTTTACTTCACGTTTCTATGTATCGCATTCGTATGATTTATAGATAGTCAGTTAACCTCACGATGCCTACAATATAGAACTCAAAAGCCTGTTTCTGAAACAATATAATACTCTAAAACCTGTTTATAAGAAAACAGTGTCCGAAAGCCTCGTTTCTTAAACGACATAGATCCCAAAAGCTTGTTTCTAAAACAATAATACCCAAAAGCTTGTTTCTAAAACAATATAGTGCCCAAAAGATTGTTTCTAAAATAATACAATGCCCAAAAGCTTGTTTCTAAAACAATAGTGCCCAAATTCTCGTTTCTAAAATAACATAAAGCTAAAAAGCTCGTTTCTAAAACAATATAGTACTTAAAAGCTCGTTTCTAAAACAATATAATACTCAGAAGCTAGTTTCTAAAACAATATAGTGCCCAAAAGCTCGTTTTTAACTCAATATAGAACCCAAAAGTGCATTTCCAAAACAATAATACACAAAGCTTGGTTCTAAAAAATATAGAGACCAAACGTTTGCTTATAGAACATGGTACTCAACAGCTTGTTTCTTTAACAAAAATCAAAAAACATAGAACTCAAAACCTCATTTTTAAGACAATATTGTGTCCAAAAACTCTTAAGCCTATAATAAATTTATTAAACTCGCCCCCCTTTTGTTTTTTCGTTTATTACAGGCGTTTTGGAACTAAGTGCTCAGGTTGTGGCCAAGGAATATCACCCACGGACTTGGTTAGAAGAGCTCGGTCAAAAGTGTTTCACCTAAAATGTTTTACTTGCTCGGTGTGTCAGAAACAATTATCAACTGGAGAAGAGTTGTACGTACTTGACGACAATCGTTTCATCTGTAAGGAAGATTACCTCAGCAGTCTTTACAAACAAAGTAAGGCAACCTTTATATTAAGTTTGAAATTGTTTCTAATGATAGGGCTAAATAATACAACACGTATGTATGTCAATAATTTTACAGATAATACTTCTATTGTATCTTCCTTTAGTATATGAAACAAAAAAGGATTCATTAGTTCTAATAGTTGCATACATATTGTTTAGTTTTCTAAGCCTAATGTGAGACCTGGTACAAAAATGACAAAACTCGACATAGAAGTGAGTATATGAATAAACGGGATGTTTTGACGTAACAAGATATCTTGTTCAAGTTTGTTTGTTTTTTGAATTTCGCGCAAAGCTACACGAGGGCTATCTGCGCTAGCCGTCCCTAATTTAGCAGTGTAAGACTAGAGGGAAGGCAGCTAGTCATCACCATCCACCGCCAACTCTTGGGCTACTCTTTTACCAACGAATAGTGGGATTGACCATCACATTATATCGCCTCCACAGCTGAAAGGGCGAGCATGTTTGGTGTGACGGGGATTCGAACCCGCGACCCGCAGATTGCGAGTCGAGTGCCCTAACCACCTGGCCATGCCGGGCCTCTTGTTCAAGAAGAATTAGACAGAATATAAAGTTAGCTTGTTCTTGATGAAATAAGCTATATATTGTAACGCAAGAAGGTAGTTTGTTCAGTAAAGATAGATGGAAGGGTTATAAAGCCAGCTAGTTGGTAGTGAATTACACGAGGTGTTATGACACATGAAGATAGCTTGTTCGGGAAGGATGGACACTGGACATGATAGCGTGTTTCTAAATAATTGTATGAGCTGTTATTACACATATTCGTCATCACTTACACTGCACATATTGCGAGTTTATAAATTTGTACAAATTAATATTCGTGTAAAAGAAGAAACCATCGGGAAAAGAAAGGATTTGTTTGTTTGTTTATTTTAGAGTAAAACCACATGGGGCGATCTGCTATGTTCACCCCGGGGAATCGAACCACTGATCTTAGCTTTGTAAGTCTGTAGACATACCGATGTCCCCACTGGGGGACGAAAAGAAAGGAAATATCTTGCTTAATAAGGTTAGTTGTTGCTCTGACAACCTTCTTTTTTTTTTACGTTTGCCTCGCGTAGGATAGTTACAGACACCTACTCTGGCACAACTATTAAATGTTATGTTATTTTGTTACTCGGTCGTTAGTACACGAGTTGGTTTAATGATCCTATACATCAAGCAGAGTTTTATACCGCCGCTTAGTTATGTGGTTTATTCTTCCTGGAATTCTAGCTTCAAAAAGAAAAAAAAACACTTTGGAGACTGGCGCTGAAACTTTGAAGTAAGCTCAGAAAAGAGAAACTTAATCTAGTCAGATAAAAATATACTTTTTTCATACCTACGTAATGAGGAACCCATGTCTACCTGCTTGCTTGCATATCACCAAAGGCGCTTGCAGATAAAATCCCGCAATTTATATGGTAACTGTGATCAGCTACCGACTTGCGTGACTGTCTGTTGATAAATTACGTGACCCTATATGGTCTGCTTCTTAACTGACAAACTATCGAACGATATTTCATTTCTGGGAATCGGTTTCATTTCGATAAAGTAGTATACATAAATCATGAACATATGAGTTCGATGCCAGGACTTTCAAGGGTTAAAAACTAAGACTATATAATGGCTAGAACTGTTATACTGAGAAAGTTAGGGACTCATAATAAGAGTTTCTAACAGTGTCCAGAATTGAAAACTAAAAATGTACAACGTTTAACAGTATGTTTGAAACTAAAAATGTACAACGTTTAACAGTATGTTTGAAACTAAAAATGTACAACGTTTAACAGTATGTTTGAAATTAAAAATGTAAAACAATGAAGAGTGTTGTTAAAACTAAGAATATGCAACGCTGACCAGTGTGGTTGAAACTAAGGAAGTGCAACATTGAACAATATGGTTAAAACTAAGAATGTGTAGAGATAAAAGTGTGGTTAAAGCTGAAAATGTACAAAGTTGAATACTGTGAAATTAAGAATGTACAACGCCAACAATGTATTTGAAACTATGAATGTGCAACGTTGAACTGTATGGTTAAAACTAAGAATGTGCAGCTTATAACAGTTCGGTTAAAACTAAGAATATGCATTGTGCAGCACTATGGTTGAAACTAAGAACGAACAAAGTTTAAATCAATAGTAAAAAGAGTTTAAAAGTGTTGATACTAAAGATATATAATCCAATAGGCCTAATGTTTTTGATTAAAATCAAGTAAACTGATTTTTTTTTCTATTCTTCTTAACCTGCCCATTATGGAATGAAAACCGTAGGCAGGTAAAAATAGCATTTCAGATATTTAGATATATCTCTTGTCTCACACAAAAGACCTTTTTGGGCAACGACTTCTGAGAGACAAAAGAGAGATAGATCTAAAATGCTGTTTTTACATGCTTCTGGTTTTTAATACAAACTGCACAAATTAAGTTCGTTTGTTTGTTTGTAATTAATCACAAAGCTACACAATGGGCTATCTGTGCTCTGCCCACCACGGGTATCGAAATCCGGATTCTTGCGTTGTAAGTCTGCAGACATACCGCTGTGCTACTGGGGGCTCACAAATTAAGAGGAATGTGAAAAAACAGTGAAACGAAAAAAAAAAAAAACATTGCAGTTTACGTGATTTTTTCACAAAATTTAGGCTTATTGGTTTCGAATGCTTCGCCAGCTTTCGGGGTTTAAACCGTAACTTTTAAAGTATGTACAAGGTTTAACGTTGAAACTAATAGTAAACAATGTTTCACAATATACAGAGAGTTAAAAACTTAACGTTTAACACTACAAAATATCCACATTTTATAAAAACGTAACACTATATACTTGACTAAAAACCGGGAATGTACAATTTTTACAATATAAAGTTAAAACCTAAGAATGCTCAGCGGTTCGAACAATTCATAAACTACAACTCTTTCAAACTACTAACAGTTAAAATCAACAAATATAAGAATTTCAAACATCACAAACAGTTAAAGCTAACAATGGAAAACGTTTCAGACTATACAAGAGTTAAAACTAGTAATGTATAGCTTTTTAAACAAAACAAACAGTTAAAACTATTAAGGTACAACCTTTCAAGCTATGCAAACAATCAAAAACTAGCATTATCAGCATTATAAACTGGCGAACAGCTAAAACTAACAGTGATTATAATTTCAAACTACAAAAAAATTAAAGCCAATAATGAACAGCACCCCAACCCAAACAAATATTTAAATGGAAATACAAAGCTTTTTTTTTACTGTAAAAGACTAAAAAATAATAAAATCAAAAACCAGCAACAACTGGAGACAAATAAAATATAAGTAGATGCAGAACACCTGCACGAAAATTTATATAAATTACCTAAATATACTTGACTAAATACACATTCTATACTAGTTAATGTCGGGTATCAGAAGTAACTACTTTAATTATGACAGCGTGATAACTTTGTGTCTACTTGTGCCGCATGTCGGCTTAACTACCTCAGAACTCTGAAAACCTCGTGGAGTCCACAACTTAGTGAGTGAAAGGATCACATGTATGTCAGCATCAAGCAGGTCAGAAAGAGACTTAACTGTGTATAAAAACTTAATGTATATTATTTGTAAACTAAATAATTTCTATAACTGTTCTAAAGTAGTAAATTGGTAAAAGCTATTGTTTATTTGTTAAATTTACTTAAACTTCAATTCCATATTTTTAAAAGACATCGACATTTTCAAACTCTCCTGTCCCTAAAATATATTTTATCAGGTTTGATGTTGAATCTTTGCAAAATAGAATATGCAAGTTGCAAGAAAAGAGATTAGTATTAAAAGTTACCGATTCGAGTTAGTCTATACAAAGCATTTTAGACTCGGCCTTGTAAAATACAATAACATAATTAAATTACATAAGTGTAAATTCTCGAGCTTATGAGGTTGGAAGAATTACATTTGTAACAGTTATTTCGGCAAAACTAAGTTTAGAAATTAAGACTTTAAGACTTTGCTGAATGTTTTCCAACACAACCAAGTTCAAAACTGAGGACCTTACTACACAACCAATTTCACAAGTGAGGAACTTGCTGGACGCTTTCAGACACAACCAGGTTAAAAAGTGAGGACTTTGATGAATACTTTACAGAAACAACTAGGTGCAAAAGTGGGAACCTTGCAAAAATCTTTCTGGCTACTCAAAACTTGGTTCTGAATAGATACACTTATAGATATTTGAAGTATGGTGGTGCTGGCATTTGAAATCGTGATAAACGTAGGACCAGAACGATATGAAAAGATTTGCTGAGATTTTTTTCGTAATGTAAAAACACTACGAGAAACTTCCATGGATAAATTTAATTAACAAGTTTTACTGAATGAAACCTTTACTGTGTATGTATGTGTTTTGTTATAGCAAAGCCACATCGGGCTATCTGCTGTGTCCACCGAGAGGAATCGAACCCCTGAGTTTAGTGTTATAAACACCGCTACCAGATACCGTATTACCTACTAATGAACACTGCGTGATTCGACTGGAAATTCCAGTGATCTTGTATTTTATACCCCACAAAAATTATAAGCTATGGACGCTTAACAAAAGCCTGTCGTAATGTTATTTGTTGTTGTTCTAGACATCACGCGGGATTAGTTCCTGGAGTATTTATACACATGCATAAAGAATTTTTGTTTTGATGAATTAATTGACTCTAAACTCCAGTTTAGGTCATTACACTACTTATTTTCTCAAACCTCACGTAAAAAATAAATAAAGTTGGCCCAAGATAATAAATGTATGTAACCATTTGGATGAATTATCCTACGTTAAAACGTTTCATCGTCAATGTCTTTCAAACTGTATGTTAAAGATGAAGAAGAATCATTAAGGACAGTACATCGTTCTTGATATAAGAATTTCTCTGAAGGAGAAAAAAAAAAACTGGAACTGGATAGGTTCGAACGTGGGATCCTGCTTACCAAGCAGATGCTTCAGACAAATAATTATTTAGAGCTTTTGACTCCATAGATT